CAGCTGTGGCTCCAGAGCCAGCAAATGACGATTCCTCTGCCTGCTCAAGGAAAAGGAGACATCCTTGAGCCATGTTTGGGGGGTAGCTCAGGTGTGGAAACAGCCAATTACTCTACTAATCAGCTTGAGCAACCAGTCGTATGATGAGTTAGAAATATGCCTCATGGAAATTGTTCCATGACTTGCAAGTGTGTGGCGGAGGGGGTGGGGATTGGATCTGAGTGCACTTCCAGAGGAGGGAAGAGAATCAGGTGATAGACTGCAATGGATGGTCCAACTTCATTTATACTTACCTTGAAAGAAAACTCAGAGCAAGACTCTTCTTCCTATTTCCCAGGTGACTTTTAAAGAGATATAGGACCTGTGAAATGTATCCCCAGTGACTAAGGCTAGAGCACAATGCAGGTAATTCACATCCAGACTCTTGAACCTGGCTAAACAAACACTACAAAGTTTTCTGTGCTCTTTAAGCCACTGATAGAAATGAGACTTCCTGTCTCCTCCTGACTGTGGGAACTCCCTTATTTTCAGATGTTCTCTGTCTACCCACCACTGATTCCTAAGTTTCTACTGAACCTCTGAGAAGCTGTTTTGAAGTCCTACCCTGGTTTGACCAGGTAGGTCAAACTTGCCCAGAATTCACAACTGGAGGCTGGCATCTCTGAGGAGACCACACCATCACATAAGCACCTCCACCTACTGCACTGGCCACCTTCCTCCCAGTTCTGCAGGAGTCTCCTTGGTACCCTGACCTGGCCAACTCTAAGACTTGGCACCCGGCATGAGTTAATGACATGGTATCAGTTGAGTTAGGCAAACTGGGGTTAGGACAGGCAAGGTTACTCCCAAGGTTACCACGGCAACTCACCACTGTACATGTCAGGGTGGTTTCTTAAGGACGAGTCATTATAGGGGTGGTCTGCAATAAACAAAAGAGGGTGAGCAAACAGGGACCACGGAGAGGTCAAGGAGGCATAAACGGGAGAGAACAACAGAAATGCAAAGCCACAAAACAACCAGGGAGCACCAGTGGTCTTTTGCAAAGGAAACACACAGCATATTTGGAAAGGAAATACGCTTGGTGAAGAACAAGCAACACAAAACAGCTCCCAAAAGGGAAGAAAAGGTTAAATCCTGCAAAAGAAGGCAATAATAAGTCTCTTTTTTAATAAAGAAATTAGGCATGACCTCTAATTGCTTGGTCATACTATAATTTCAAACAAATGAGATATGAATTAGTGGTATTCTGTAGCAATTTGAACAACTCTTTTCCGCCAAAATCCTCTGTTCCCAAGACTCTGGATCAGGCCAGCTCCTGGGGTCGCTAAAGAGAAAGGAGTGTTAGTGAGCCCTGGGGCAAGAGCCAAGCCCCACCTGGGCAGAAGCCAACTCGCAAGGGGTGGGGGGTAAACGAGGGGAGAAGATAGAGACAGGTCACCAACAGAAGGGGACAGAGGACCCTCGGCAGTGCCCAGCAGTCGTGCACTGACCAGCATCAAGAACTCCCAGCCTGCCCAGACGGGCACTATCCTGGTCTCCACATTGAGTCTGTTGGCAGAAACGCCTCCTCAGAAGGAGGAGCAGTGGTTCAGGGAGAGGGGGACAGCTAGGCTGAGCTTCGGATTTTAGGCTCAGAAAGGGAGCCTGGGACAGGAGAGCGTGCATGAGCTGTGAGTTCTACATTTAGAACAGGGAAAGGCCTGCTAACAAGATAAAGGTCCAAAGCTCTCTAGACTAACTTAGGATGAAACCATTCCTTATGGAACAAGACCAGTGGGCTCTGATGTTAGGTAATGAAAACCTTTGGGCATTTAATCCTCAATTGAAAAGACATTTTGGAATGGGGCGTATAATCATGCCAACATCCTTAAGGAGGTTTTCATTCTCCTACCAGTGTCCCCTTCCAGACACCAGTTCAAGTTTTGACAGCACCAACAGAGGGTAGGGATGGGAGAGCCGACTGGAAGCCAAGCAGACGCCCCGAGAAGCCTGGACCCAGCCCAGCAGCCTGAGGGAGGAGAGGCTGCCAGAGCATTTGCATCTTGGAAGACAGATCAAATCCTGTTATAACTCATGGTGGGGAGGCAACAGGAGCACCAGCATTGCTCTGCATCCCAGAGTTGCTTAATATCCACTAGAAGGAGTTTCATTATTCAGAACCATCCTTTAAAAAGGGGTGTGTTGGTTGTAAAAGACTTTGCCTGTGTGTGGGAAGGTGGCTTGGGTTTATCTGGAGGTAAAGGTGGAGACTGACCCTCACTGGCATGAAGAGACAGGGCAGCGTGGGGCGGGAGGAGCGGTGGCTGGGCCTCGGAGGATGGGGAGCCCCACGCTCTGGTGCCACCAGCTGTGACGGAAGGGCCCATGCTCAGAACTGACCTCACGCTTTGTGGACTCTGGAGCACATCTGAGAAATTCAGGGAGACTTCCTGACACCTCCTAGAAGGTCACTTAGACAATAGACATCAGAGGAAGCAGGGTTAGTTCTCTGGCCTGACTCAAGGACAGCCCTGCTCCTTCACCACAGCTGACTCCTGTCCCCGGGAGGCACCCGGTACCAAAGTGGGACATGCATCTCTTTGTTACTCCCACTTCACTGTCTTTGACTACCTCCCAAGACAAGATTTTAAAATAATTTTATATTGCCCAGTGTTCTGTATCAGATCCTTTCTCTCCATCCTTTAATGCAGGTAATAAAAAATTGGCTGTGATGAGATTTATTTCTTCCTCAGTGGGCAGACTGTGAAAGAAACCCCTGGTGAGAACAGTCTTTGAAGCTGTCCCAACTTGTCTGATTTGTCTCCCACTCCCAGACCTGGTTCTGAAGGTACAAGAAAACGCTTGTGTCCTTTCCAGGCAGGAAAGCAGAGAGAGCACAGCTGAGCTATTTTAAGCAACCGAGCCCAGTTCTGAGCTGGCACGGATGCCCAGAACTTGCTCCCAGCCAAAGCTGCCCCTGGGAGAACTCCAGGAAGCCGACAGGGTTCTGTTCCCAATGCCCAGTGCATTTCTCAGCAATCGGAGGAGAGAGTTTTGGTGGAGAAGGGGACCCAGAAACGAAGCACAGACAAATATCCCTTACCTAACTCTGGTAGAGAAAAGGATGTTTCTGGAAAGTCCAACTTCTAAAGGTTGTTGAAATCTTCAACTGCTTATTTTTACAAAGGAAGGCTCTTCACCACCTCCGTCTCCCTGCCTCTACCCCACGTACCAGTGAGAGCCTCTGGCCAGGACTGCAGCAGCCACCTGACCCTGCAGTCCCCGCCCAGCAGGCAGACTCCGAGCCTGGGTCAGAGAGACGGCCCCCGGCGAGGCACTGAAGGAGGTCCAGGAGGTGCTGCCTCGATCCTGCCCCCTGCTGCCCGAGGCTGCCAGCCCTGTCCTGGCCCCAGACGCCCCTGGGCAGACCAGACTGTCCTCCTCAGCTCAGCCAGCTGGCAGGCAGTCCCTTCTGCACTGAGGCGACACCTCAGACAACCCAACTTTCTTCTCAGGGGTGCTCTCTGGGCCTGGATCCAGAATAAGAAACACCAGGGGGGAAAAAAAAAAAGAAACGCCAGGGAAGAGGCAGCAAGTGGACTGAAGCTGGGCAACCCTGTGAGGAACAAGCGAGGCTTGTCCCTGGTTGCTGGCCGTCCTGTTGGCTATCAGAGCCCAGGCAGCTCTGAGCAGGGCGTGGGGAGCCGCAGAGGTCGGAGGGGAAGATTAGGGGAGGAGGAAAGGGGCTGCAGAGAGAGATGAGCGGGGAAAAGAGGAAAGGGGAGGCGAAACAGACAAGAAGAAGAACAAAAAGGGAGGACCGTGAAGAGGGGGAAGAAAGAAAGACCCACAACAGGGGAAGGCGCACAGGAGGGAAGCTGCTTCGGGGGCCCATCTCCACCAGTGGGACGGCTTGGGGGGGCCAGTGAGGCGAGAAGGGCCCACGTGTTCGAAGAGAGGGGTGAGCACCCCGGCCTTTCCTCTGCCTCCTGCACCCACCCCGGAGGCAGCATCAGTCACCCACGGGTCCACTCTGGGAAGCCGGGGCTCAGCCCCTTTCCTTTAACCTGTGGAAACAGCCAGCCCCACATGGGGCCCTCTGCCTGACCGCCTCCACAACGGCCTCTGTCCACGGTACTGAAAGCAACATTTGCAACTGCCTGAGACAAATGAACATCTTTGGGGGCTTTTATACCGAAGGTCAGTGACAAAACCACAGTATAAACCAACACAGCGACTTCCAATGTCCTGAGCAGGTTGAGGACTTTGTAGCCAAAGCTCCAGGCTGGCTGGTCCCTGGCAAAAAGTGACTCTTTAGACAGAGCTTCTCTCTCTCCTGGTGAAGGGTGGGTCAATGATAAAGTGGGTCAGGAAATGCTGATTCACTCTGGTACCAGCCAAACAATCAGGGAACAAAAATGAAAACAAATAAAACTAAAAGATAAACTTGCAACTTGCAAACACAGTGATTCCATATGGTCCAGCATATACTTGTTAATATTACAGAATCAAACACAATTTATTTTGTTGGATCACTAATTTAGATATTCCGTGCTATTGCTTTATTTTAGAAATAAAGATAACCAAACAATGAGGATAAATAGTCAAGCTGACTTCATGAGAGAGATGCTGAACGGCCACTTACAGCAGTGCTTCTCAAATTCTGGTGTGTTCCCAGGACACCTGGAGAACTAATGCAGACCAGAGAGGTCCAGGACTGTCGGGCAGGTGAGGGGCTGGGTGTAGGTGTGGGTGCCAAGCTTGCCAGGTGATTCTGACTCCACCAGAGTTTGAGAAGCACTAATTTGGAGCAGGACCGAATTTAACTCTAGGCTCCAGAATCGAGCGATGTGGCTAAAGAGCAGCTAGAGTCACTCAGGCACAGTGAGCTGGCAAGATGTCTAGGTCAGCTGTGGGGACACGGCACTTCCCAGGTCCAGGTGCCCAGGGCTGTCTGGGCTCAGGGGGCTGCTGTCCCCAGCCCCTGGCCCCCAGCCCCGGGCAGGGGCCCACACACTTACTGGTCAGGACTTTGAGGTTGAATGGGTTCTTCTGCTGGATGGTGTGGGTGAAGTGGAAGCGGGCATTGCAGCTGTAGTCTGTCTGCATGTCCTGCAGCATCACATTAGAGAAATACAGGTCTCCATTATGGCCCTGGGAGACACGTTTGTCTTGGGTGATGGGCTCCATGGCTATAAGGAAGCAGGGGTACAGGGGGAAGTTAGCAGTAATGATAACAGTAACAAAAATCATCATAGTTCTGGTGATTCAACACCTACCAAGGGCCAGGTCAGGGCCAGGAGCTCCACAGTATTTGATTTAATACTGTCAACTCTGAGGCAGGAATTACTCCCATTTTAAAGATAAGAAAGCAGGATTTAACAAGATTTGGGTTGCAAAAGCAGTGAAGGGGAGTGGGATTTCAATTCAGACCTGTCTGCCAACCATGTTCATGCTCTGTGACCACACCTTTCATTTCCTATTCATGCCACAGAAGATCTAACTGGCTCCCAGGCCAGAGGGAGGAAACACAATCCTTCAGATGTTCCCCAAACCAGGAGGCATGTTCACCTGTTTTGTTTTAAACCTCCACTCATCCCCAAGAAGGAGAAAAGCACCACCAACTGTAAGATATACACCAATCAATGATGCATATCATCAATTTTAGGACACTTTCCAATTTTAGAGATGTTAAAATATGAACATGTGTGCTTTTTTTTTTTTTAGGATTAATAACATCATAGGAGTGGCTGAACATGCTGACCACATTGTCTACATTTTTTTTCAAGCACTGTATCTGTAAACACAAATGACCAGGTTTCTAGGCTGTAAGGTTTGTAAAAATATAAGGCTGACAACTTACTCACAGGTATCTCCTTCTTATCCCTGACGACTGCTTCTCAAGTCACCATTTCTTTTTCTTTCTCTTGAAAAGTAGTTCTATTTAATCAATTAATTTTACCATGTGACAGAAGGGGATAAGCTGAGAGAAGGAGTACCCAATCCATCCTGGGATTTGAGCTGAGGCTTGAAGGTTGCATGACATTTACCAAGCAGAAGAGGAAGGAGCTAAGAGGCTTCTAAGCAGCAGGAACAGTGTGTGCTAAAGGTAAGCACCCACAGCTTGAACCGGGGAGTGGGGACGGGGAGGGCATACGAATGAAAGGATCATTTTTAGAAAGACCAGGGAGGCCAGGTACAGATGATTATTGTAACCCAAGGAAAAGCTGTTGATGGCTCATGCTAGGGAGGTGGCGGAGAGAATGGAAGAGCAGGGTCATGAGATATGCTCAGGAAGTAGCATGAACACAACCTGGTGCAGTGTGGGGTTGAGAGGGGCTCACAAACCAACCCTCCGGCCTGTGGCCAGCTGCCTTCCCCACACATCCGCACTGTGATGAGGCAAGGGGGGGACGACTGAGCACAAAGTCATCCATTCAGGGCGGGAGGGAGGAAGGAAGCCAGGGAGATGCTCAGAGAGAGCAGTCTTCTATCCATCTTCATAATGCCCCCGCCCTTTATTCTGATTGAAAACACAGGAAGAAACAGCAGGCAGTTCAGAGAGCCCCTGTCCAAAACTGAGTCAGGACAAGCTCTGAATGAGGTACTCTGTCCTCCCTGCTCCAAACACCCTGTCTCCCCATCACTCCTTTATCTAAAGTTTCATTCCCAAATCCCTCTTCTGTCCTACAAGAAGACTGAATCAGAGCAGATCCAGATGAACCAAAGATTGAAAGAGGCTTGGTTTCAACCTGCCGTCAACTGGCCAACTGAAAAGCAGTTTGTCCTCTGACCCATTTCTTTTTCTGTTGCTCTTATTCATCATCACAAATATTACTGAACACTTACTGTATGTCTGGCCCTATTATAAGCACTTTGGATATATTGTCATTGAATCCTCACAATAATTCTATTAGATAAATACACTTATCAGCCCTAGTTTTTTTAAAAGAGGAAACTGGCCCAGAGATGTTAAACAAGTTGCTCGAGATCACACAGCTAAGAGTAGCCAGGCTCAACAGTGAGCCCCAGCAACCTCTCTCTGCAAATCCTGTGTTCTCAGTCACATGGCCACCTTAACTCTGTTCTCACAAGTCAAGGTTGTCTAACCTTGAGAAGACCCCTTCCTATTTAACACTCCCTAAGATTAAAATAGAAATAAAACACCAGGCCCTGGAGACTTACAGCTGCTCATCCAGAAGATGACTGGGGATGGAAGCCCAGGTGGGGGGTTGCACTGGAGTGTCAAGGGGGCACCTTCTTGAACCACGACGGGGTCTAGGTTTTCCTTGGGCCACAGGGGGGATTCTGGGGAGAAACAAAGGAGCATTCTATCAGGGTGATGGCTGGGCTGGGGCACGGAGCAGGGTTAGAAGGTGGCAGCAAGGAGGGCAAAGAGAAGAGGAACTGGGAGAACAAAAAAGGCCCAAGAGAGGGACAGGGTCTGTGTGTCCAAGTGAGGGGTGGCCTGGAGAGGCAGGAGAGGCCTTTACTCAGACTGAATGAACACACATCTTTCAAGGCTCTTCTTCCCTGACCCGTGCCAGGAGGGGTCAGTGAGGTTGTTCCACAATGGTTTGGAAACTTCCTTTCCAAGGAACCTTTTTAAGTTGGGGGAGGCGCACCCCTGCCCAGAGGCCAGGCACGCAGGTCCCCCAGGTAGCTGCAGACCAAGGGTGGGCGGCCCTTCTGGAATGACCCTCCACACCCTGCCCTCCACCGACCCAGCAGCGGGGCATCCTGGGCCTGGCCCACGCACTCACTGGACACCTGCAGGCGAATCCGATTGGACAGGGCCGTGCCGAATTTGTTGCGGGCAAAGCACTGGTATTCCCCCTCATACTCCTCGGGCCGCCCGCCACTGCGGAAGTCGATCACCAGGGTCCCAGACCGCCTCCTCATCGACACCCGGGGGTCCTTGGCGATGTTGAAGAACTTGCTGTTGCGCGTCCAGTGGAAGCTGTATAGGGTCAGGGACAACCAAGAGTAGCAGGGAGGGCTCTGGGCTCCCAGCTCTAGGCTAGAATCTCAGGGCCCTAGACTGGGACTCGGGCCATAACCATTCCTCCAGACCAGTGGGTCCCAGCCTGGCTGCGCAGCAGGACCTTCTCAGACACCTGATAAAATGCTGGGTCCTGGGTCCCACCCAGGTGGGTTTCTGAGGAGGTCCCTGAAAGTAGTTGTGCTACCCAACCGAGGCTGGGAGTCATGACTGCAAGTGAGAGATACCAAGCGGCTGTGGGGGGCTGTGCTCTTTGGAAGAGTAGGCAGCAATTCTGGATTTTTAAAATCCAGAGTCAGCGGCTATTCCCACCGCTAAGCATTCTCAACCTCCAACTAGGAACCCGAAACCAAGTTCCTATTCTATCGGCCCCAACACATCAGGGAGCCGGCCCTGCTCCGCCTGTCATTATTTGATAACCCACTCTAAATCAAAGTGAAACGGCCCCCGGTTATCTGTGCGCTGCTCAGCGGATGTAGATTATAAAATGGCGGCTGTACATTACAACCCCAGAGGAGCAGTTTTAAAGTACAAAGTAGCCTTAATAAAACTGAGCCCTAGCATGAAGAGACTAGAACATCCTCTGTTTCTCTGGGGGGGCGGACATGTGTCTGCCCAGGACACAGCCTAAAAGAAGCAGGGACAACAGCAGCTCCTCGGAATCCCAATCACTGCCCTGCAAAGGACTGTGGGAGAAAGACCAGCCCTGAGAAGCGAGGTCAAGATACCCTGCCGGAGACTCCTGCTTCTTCATGGGCAAGAGGCCCTGCTTGCTTCTGGGATTGCAGCTCTAGACCAGCATTCTCGGGCACACCCACGGAGGGAGGCAGAAGCAGGGTGCCAACCCCTTGAGGCCCTGCCCACCTCACGTCTCCTGCTGACAGACACACAGTACATGAGGGCCTGTCACGTCTGGGTACAAGTCCGCCATGAGGCTGCTGGAAGCTCCAGCCTGTGGATGCTGCTTTGAAGAGGGTGGGCGTTCCCATCCCCAGTGCTTATCACTTGGTAGAAGTTATCCCTGGTCTGGGGTGTCAGAGGCCTGGGGTTAGGTACCTGACATCTCTGTGCCTCCATTTCACTTCCTCTCCACAAGGACACGGGTCCTTCCCTGAAGGGCAGTGAGGTGGGCGAACAGTGTGAGGAACAACATTTAACACAGAACCTGCCAGAGGAGGCTTGCAATTCATGTCTGCTGATATCTCATATGATCTTGTGTGTTAGTTCAGTCATGCTGACTCTTTGCAACCCCATGGATTGTAGCTCAGCAGGCTCCTCTGTCCATGAAATTCTCTAGGCAAGAATACTGGAGTGGGTTGCCATTTCCTTCTCCAGGGGATTTTCCTGACCCAGGGATCGAACCTGGGTCTCCTGCATTGCAGGTAGATGTTTTACCGTCTGAGCTACCAGGGAAAGTGAAAGTGAAGTCGCTCAGTCGTGTCAGACTCTTTGCGACCCCATAGACTGTAGTCTACCAGGCTTCTCCGTCCATGGGATTTTCCAGGCAAGAATACTGGAGTAGGTTGCCATTTCCAGGGGAGCCCATCATAAAATCTTGATATGCACATATATAAGCAGAGACGAACTCAGAATGGAAGATTCAAGTTAGCGTGAAGAGGAACTTCCTATAAGCTAAGCATCAGGTGGATGCTGGAAACATAAGTAGTGGGAAGAATGTTATATTCAAAGTCAGAAAACTTCATATCTAGTCCTGGCTTTTTGGTATGAACTGAAGCCAGTTAAGTTTTCTGGCCCCCAGATTCCTCATCAACTACATTTCCTAGTTATCCAAACTGTACCTTCTATCTAGTAGGTGCCTAGTGGACATTTTATGAATGGATTTCTCAGCTGCTTTAAACTATCATCAGGCTCAGGGGGAAGGGGACAGTTTCAATGCCCTTTTTGCAGGTCCTGTTCCCTCCACCCAGCTTGGATTTACCTGCTGGGCACTCACCTGGGGGCAGGGTTCCCCTTGGCTTCACACTCAATCAAGATGTTGTCACGGGGATCCACAATGTGGTCCTTCACTGACTGCTTGGTGATGGTCGGGGGCTGGGACACTGCAAGAGCACACACAGTGAGCAGTCAGGGCTGCAGGGACCTGCCCTTGGGGAACGGCTGAAATTAAGAGCTTCAGGAGCCACCCAGACAAGCAGGCCAGCAGCGGTGAGCAGTGCCCCGTTCTAGAGACCCAACTGCTTAAACAGGGCTGCAAGAAAGGGCATGGTGTATCAAGGACTAAGTATAAAAAGAACCCCTTTATGTTCTCATCTTTATGAGAAACTGAAGGCCAGGCTTTTGGTTTACTCATTCTTATATTCTAATGCTTAGTACAATGTCTAGTGTACAACAGTTCTTGATGAATGTTCATTGAATGAATAAAGGAACCCGAAGCAGCTCGATTTCCAGAACCTAGTTGCCATGATGGTTCTGAGGGCTGTAGGGTCAATAGTTGGCCAAACTGTGGTGAGGCTAGAGCTGAAAGCCGCTTTAGTCCCCGGAGGCCTTCCCAGGGGCTTGTCTGCAGCCAAAGAGCCAGCTCCAGCCCCAAGCCCCGAAGTCCTCCACGACACTGCCGTGCCAGCCACTGGAGGACAGGGGGGCAGCGGTCCTTCCAGAAGCCGCTAGTCCCACCTCTTGGCCTTCTCCCATCCCTTCTTACTGCCCGCCACCTCCCAGAGGCACAAGCGCAGACAGGCACCCCAGGGACTTACGCTCATTCTGAATGCTTGCTGTTAGTTCCCGATGGGTTAGCATTGTGAGGGGAGAAAAGAAGACAACAGTTATCAGTTATCGGCCATGACTGTCACCCAGGTGGCCTCAGGCCCCGGCCTGCAGGGGGAGGGGGAAGAGGGCTGGGGAGGCCAGTGTCGGCTCTCCTACAGCTTCAGAGCTCTGTGGGAGAGCCAAGCCGGGGTGGGGACAGACCCAGCGATGCTTCGTGGAGAAGGCGACGCCTCCCCCAGGGGACCAGACTGCACAACTGAGCAAATGACCAGCTGCTGACCGAATGATTTCCAGGGAAATCTGCACGTCAGAACTGGCAATGCTGCTCAAAAGAGGCTGGGGTCTGAGGATGCCACTCGTCATCGCCTGATGCCTGAGAGGAAAGCAAGCTCCTTAGCCAAGGGTGCGAGGGTGGGGCTGGAGGCCGGTGGGAGGCGTGGAGCTGAAGCACTGTTGCAGGGTGAAGCCCAAGGACCAGGCAGCTCCACAGCCTCATGGCTCCCTCCGCACCTTCTTCTTCACACCTGAAAGCATCTTCCCACCGTCTCCTCCTCTGCCATCCTTTGGAAAACTCGAGGGAAGGATGAATTATTGTCATCTGCTCATGGCAGAAGTACACTGTTCTATGGAAATCCTGCTTCTGAACAACTGTGGAGATGAAGCAGAACCCACCACTCCTTTCTGTGCTTTTTACAAGGAGGGTAAAGGTGGCGTGGATGTGCCTGTGTTCGTGCACAGGAGTGTTGGCGTGTGGACCTTTCACACTTTAATCAGCATGAGAATCCCCTGTGGGGGTTGTCAGGTAAAAATTTGGGCTCTGACTAAGTAGGTCTGGGTGGGTCTGAGCGTCTGTGTTTCTGACAAGCAGCCAGGTGACTCTGGTGCCTGTGGTTTGCAGGCCACACTGTGAACAGCAAGGTTTTAGAGGGTTTATTCTTTGTGGGGAGAAGGCTTTGGTGAAAATTTCTCTGCAGAGGAGAGAACACATGTCGCTGTAACTTTTTAAGATGTCTTTTCCTTACAGTTACATCACTATATATATTACACGATTACATTACTGTAGGCCAGTCTTATTTCAGGCCGGTGGAGAGGTCAGACACTGCTGGTGTGGTGAGCTGATCTTTTCCAAGTGAGCGCTCCCTGGGGAAAGGCTGAGCCACGATGACCTCAAAACTTTCTGACTTGATCAGTGAGATGTGCGAGAGGAGATTAGAAGCTCTAAGGGGGGCGGCCTGGAGAAGGCAGAGTTAAGGCAGGACCAGCGACACAAGAGGAGCCCCAGGGGAGGGAAGACCGAGATGGGAGGTGGGGGGAGCAGGGACGAGGGCTTGCTACACACTGCCAGGAAGTGCAAATCTGGACGACAAACCTCATGAAAAGGTTCAAAGGCATTCCTTCAGTGGGCTGGGGGTGTGTGGCCTGTCCACGGATTAAAGAGAAATTTTATCTGCTTCACCGTGTGCCTGGGGCGACCTTGGCAAGAAACAGAAAAGGAAAGAAAAACCGAGGGGAACAGCAGAAATCTTGGTTTCTGAACACAGGCTCTAGAGAGCTCACCACTACGGCATGTTCAACCATCTATGAGTCTCCTACTAGGACCCAAGAAAGGTAACTCTGGAAAGCCAGGGGTGCTGGGCAGGGAGGGAGGGGGAAGGGCCATGGTCAGGAGTAGCAGGGCTGACCCCTGACCCACTCCCCTGGCTATGAGCCCGGGAGCCTGGTTACTCCATCTCAGGACACATCTGACGTCTTTTGGGTTCTCAAATCCAGTTGAGGGTGCTGGCCTCACCCCAGATGGGAAGCCTAACACAGGGTCTGCTTTGCCCACGTGGGTTTCAAGTCTCTTTTACACACAGGCCAGTTCAATGGAGACAGCGTGGGATGCTGCTGAGGGAGTGTCTGGTCCTTGAAAGGGAAGCTGACTCAGTTAAGGTCCCACAGGAAGTCTGGGGCAAGGAGAATCGACTCCCCCACTGCTGGTCAGGAGCTCCTTTCTCATATCCATTCTCGGCTGGAGAGGTGAGCCAGCCAGCGGGGGCCCTGGCACTCTGCTCCCCTTGACACTCTGGACAGGGCGTGGGGGAGTGGAGGCTCTCTGCATCCTGCCCCCAGCCCCACACTGACATCTGGCCGGGGGCCTCTTAAGAAGCTACTTGCCTAAAGAGGTAATGACACCTGCAGCCGCCACGTGCGGCCAAGGGATTTATCACAGGGACACGGCCAGCCAGAGGACACGCCGCCACAGCGGGAAGACAGTCACCACCTAGGCCTGTGCTCAGCCCGCCCCTCTCTCCTATGGAACCTGCTGGGTGGCGATGCTCTTTCACTTCCAAGCGGGAGGAAAAGTCTTCCCATGGGCTCTGCAGGGAGCGATACAGACGCCCACTCAGTCTGCAGGGTTTCTGTATTCATGAACCCTTTTCATTTCTGTGGCTCTGACGGTCCCTGGCACCCCCGCCCCACGGAGGATGGAGTGAGAGTGCATGCGCGCTGTCGAGGCCACTGCAGCCTCATGCCCTGGCACGACAGTGAGGCGGGAGCGTCGCTCCTACCCCGCTGCCCTCCTCTGTGGGTCCCTAGGGGAAAAATGCCAAGTCCCTTGATGCAGGGAGGGAGATGGAGGGGCAAGCTGCCAGCAGACTCACTTTTCTGGCAAAATCACTCTGATGGATGGGGCAAAAGCAACCCTTTGCTTTTTTCAAAGGTCACGCTGTTCTGCTTGGGTGGGGGGGTGTGCATGTGACTCTGTTGGCAGAGCAGCGGGAGCAGGAGGCCGCGTGTTCAGTGAGGGATTGTGCTGCGGCCTGGGCTCTGTTCTAGGACACCTGCTGCGCCCAAGCTCCCCGAGGCCCAGATGATGCCCCCCAAAGGGGAACTGAGCAGAGGACACTCTGGGCAGCCTGTGGCTTGAGCCCCTCCACGCCCCCCAGCCAACACACAGAGAAAGCTGAGGGTGTTCCCGCTGCCTACAGTGAGCAAAGCTGCGTGAACACAGGGGTGTGGGTACCTTTCCTGCCTTTTGCAACATCAAGGATGGACCCTAAGGTCAATGCTAAGAGAAATTAGTCAGACAGAGAGGGACAAATACTGTGTGTTCTCACTTACATGTAGAATCTAAAAAAAGTCAAAATCAAAGGAACAGAGTAGGATGGCGGCTGCCAGGGGCTGGGGGTGGGGGAAGCAGGGAGACGCTGGTCAAGGGGTACAACTTCCAACCACAGGATGGGTGAATTCTGGGATCCTGTGTACGGCACAGCAACCACTGTTAACTGTGCTGTATGGGCTTCTCTGGTGGCTCAGAGGTTAAAGCGTCTGCCTGGAATGTGGGAGGCCCCAGTTCAATCCCTGAATTGGGAAGATCCCCTGGAGAGGGAAATGGCAACCCACTCCAGTACTCTTGCCTGGAGAATCCCATGGAGGGAGGAGTGTGGTAGGCTACAGTCCATGGGGTTGCAAAGAGTCGGACACGACTGAGCGACTTCACTTTTCTTAGATACTTACAAGCTGGTACAGGAGATCTTAGAAGTTACCAGCACACACCCACAAAGGTAACTTTTTTTCTGAGTTCTACACCGTAAATAAGCATTTTTATGTCAGTAATATCTCAATAAAGCTGGGGCTGGGAAAGCCTGAACTTTCCCCAGCCCCTTCCACTGGGTGGGATGGAAGGACCGGCTCAGATCATCTGGGAGGCATCCACCCTGCTGGGCCCGGGGCAGGGTAAACCCTGACTGACGAGCGCCTCTTCCCAGGGCACCTGGGTGCCCTCTGAAGGGCCTGCCTCACTCTCGTCTTGCACTCATCTTTCGCAGACTCAGGCTGGAGGTGGCCATGGCCGCTGCGCTTGCAGCAACCAGGGATTCGCAGGATGTACGCGACAGGCGCAGGCAGCGGGAGCTTCTTGTTGACACGGCTGGGGGCAACGGGAGTGGCTCTGCAGAAGGACTTCCTCGTTAAGAAAGACACCATGGTCACGTCCTGGCCCTGCCTGGGTGAGCTGGAGAAAACAGCTTCGTTTCTCTGCCTCTCAGAGTCGGCCAAGGATGAGACTGACTTCATGGATGGGCTGTGAGTCACTGGAGATGTGCCTGGAGAGCTCTGAGCTCTCTCTCAGGCATGAGGCAGCTGCTATTCCAGGGAGACCCAAGATGAGCTAAAGGGGGCAGGCTAACCGAGGCGGGGTGTGGCATGTGGTTCAGACTGGGGGGCCAAGGGGCCTGGGCTCTTTCCGTGAGTCCATCACCCTTTGCTGTGTGGCCCTGAGGAAGCAGGGGCCTGGGTCCCAGTGAACACTCAGGAAGACGTCCTCCAGGCCCTCCTTGGGGGCCTGGCAGCTCTGCCCCACGGCCGGTGCTCTGCAGAGACTGGCTGTGGGGTCCTGCCCAGGGCCCCTGAGCTTTAGGATCCAGATTCCTAAGACAGACGTCAAAGCCCTTGGGTCACAGGTTCACCCTGCAGGAACCCCTCGCCTACCCGCCCCGCGGATCAGAGAGGCAGCTGAGTAAGCAAGAAGTGGCAGAAGGGAAAGGAGCCTTCACCGCTTCCTGCGTAACCCAGTTTCCTCCTCAGCCCCGCTCTCCAGGGACGTGGCCTTACCACGCTCCTTATTAGACTGTCTGCCTGGGACCGTTAATGAGAAACCATCCCTGAGCCAGCAGTGCAGACGGTCTCCGTGGGAACAGTCTCCTTCACAACCGCCCTCTCCCTCCCTCCCTGAGGGTGTGCGCGCATGCACACACGCGCACACACACACACACGCACACGCACACGCACGCACATGTACACAGGTTGGGGCCATCAGGAGGTTCACAACCGCCCTCTCCCTCCCTCCCTGAGGGTGTGCGCGCATGCACACACGCGCACACACACACACACACACACGCACACGCACGCACATGTACACAGGTTGGGGCCATCAGGAGGGCCACAGGGGCCCTGGCCATCTTGTTCTGGGTCCAATTACAGTTTCTCCTGGCCTTCTCCACCCAGAAGGACCCCCTCCTCTGGGCAGCTGTTACTGGTGAAGTGTAGGCGGGAGGCAGCAGGGAGCTGAGGTACTTCCAACTTTTCTCCAAGCTGTGCTAGCTCCAGGCCCCAGAGGCTGGCTCTGGAGAACTCAGCGGGGACTTCTTCGAGGCTGTATCACTCTCCCACCCCTCCCCAGACACCTGTTGCCTGGAAAGAGGCCAGGTCAACACTGGCATCACATAGGTCCCATCTATTCCTCGAAGCAGGAACGGGGGACAGGGGTGGTGTGTCCGTATCATAGCTCTGGGATGCCCAGAATTCCTGGCAGAAGAGTCAGAATTGTAGCAAAGGTGGCACCCATCTCAATACAGGGCCAAGGATCACGGCTGCCAGTCAACGGGCCACTTACAAATGTAACACCAGATACAGCTGGTGGAGACACGGCTGCCAGATCAGCATTTTCATCTTGACTTTATGATCTTAACGGCCAAATAACGTCCCACCATAGGAAGCAGATGCCATGGATTTCACTTTTCAACTTTGCCATGGGAAAGTTGAAAACAAACAGAAGGAGTTCGTGCCGGATTCTCCCAGTGACACTATAATGGGGTTCTTTATTTTAATGGCTCACTTAGCCACAGTCTTTTGCAAAAGTCACCTCCTTCACAACTCCCCCCAGGCCATCTGTCCTCAGCACTTCAGCCAAAAGGACCTGGCTATGAGAAAGGCAAATCACGGCTGTCCACCGTGCTCGGCCCCTGGAAACTCCACCCTGATAGGTTAGTCAAGACCACAGAGGGATGAGGGAGGGGTGTGGAGGGAAGGACTCCCGAGTGATGCTCAGGCTTCCAGACTCTCAGCAGGCTCCGGGCAGCGACCAGCACAGCCCCGGCCCTGAGAGATGGCCTGGCGACTCCAGGTCCTAGGTTCCCAAGCATGAGCTCGCCTGGGTTGATCCTCTGGAGGAAAACCCAGCTCTGAATCCAGAAGCCACTGCTTCTGCTGTCCCTGCCTTCTCTGAACGGTCCTCACTCTCCCTGCCCCTCCCCGCTCCCCCGACTCCTCTGCCCCCAGTCAGCAGATTCCAAGTGGACAGGAGACTCACGGTCCATGGGAATCTCGATGGCCCCGCTGAGGCTGAGCGCGCAGAGGAGGACGGCTGTGCAGGCCCAGGGTGGCGGTGGCCCGGCCATCCTGAGCACCGGGCCTCGCGCCCCGCGCCCCGGCCCGCGAGGTCTCACTGCCTCCAGTCACTGGAACTGATCCTTCTGGACGGAGTTCAGCTGCAGAAAAAAATATGATGACAAGTGAGTGTTCCCTGAACTCCTGGTCCACTCTAGCAATCCGACAGAGCCTTGAGGATTCAGGGTCCCCTTGATTACAGACCTACATTCTAACACAAGAGTTTTTTCTAACCTTGTACTATCGACTTTTGGGACCTGACAATTCTTTGTGTGGGGACTGTCTTGGGTATTGTAGGGTGCTGAGCAGCACCCCTGGCCTCTGCCCACAAGACGCCAGGAAGGCCCACTCCTGCCCTCAACTGAAGATGTCTGCAGAATCGCCAACTGTCCCCTGGAGGGAGGGCAAACCACCCCCAGCTGAGAACCAGTTTTCTAGAAGAAAAGACAACTCTACATAGAATAGTCGTGAAAACAGACACTGGCTCTCAGGCCCAGCACCTGGAAGGTGCCATGCGCTGTTAGGCGCTCAGTCGTGTCCAACTCTCTGTGACCCCATGGACTGTAGCCCGCCAGGCTCCTCCGTCCATGGAATTCCCCAGGTATGGGGATCCCCAGGGTTGCCATGCCCTCCTCCAGGAGTTCTTCCCAAACCAGGACTGAACTCGGGTCTCCTGCATTACAGACAGATTCTTTACCATCGGAGCCACCAGGGAAGCCCCATGCACTGCGCCTGTAGGAAACACACCTAGCTCACAGCCTTTCTCACCCACGTGTGATGAGGGGGCCTGAGGCTGAGTGTGTCCGGGTTAGCAGCATAGAGACAAGATCACAACGCTGTCCTTTGACCCGGAGACGGGGAGAGCGAAGGAGGCAGTGGTGCTGGGCAGTGGTTGGGTAAGTGGAAACTTGGTTGCCCAGGAGAGTTTGTAAATGAATGATTTCTGCAGATACTTTGTGCAGCTAACTATTTGGCAGTGGTCCCTGACGCTGTCCCTTTAGGGATAATGGCAGTGCAGATACGACAGCCCAGGACAGAAGGCTCCGGAGAGTTGGGAGAATAAGCAACATTCATGACAGCATGATGCTCACACCCTCAAGCACAAGCCATCGTTCCAGGGCTGACAGGGGTGAGGGCTAAAAGTGCCTGTCCAAGGAGCCTGGGATGGTCCTGGAGAGAAAAATCCTCCCCCTGGTCCTGGGAGAGAAGAGCAACAACGGCCTACAGCTGAGTCTCAAACACCAACCTTCAAACTGCCTGAGGCTCTGAAACACGGAGTCTTAAAAAGTGGTCCAGTTTGCTGTTCTGACTATCATGGGGCCAAACAAATCATAGAGGACAATGGAAGCAGTTTCCCCACAATTCCTCTGGCTTTTCTGGATGAGTAGTCACCTAGCAAATGGACACACTGTTTAAAACAATTTGGCAGCAATGTGAAGCCTTGATATCACCCGCACACTCCTGCAAGCTCCTATGTATCCTGACTGAGGGTGCAGGGGATCCTTTGTGCCTGAATGTGGGCAAACCAACGGAAGCTGATACCAGTTCCTCACCTCATGTGTATTTCTGGACTCCTTTCCTTGTCAGCTGTCTCCTTTCCCACTGCTTCTTCCTTGGTGTTGGCCATCATGTTTACATCAGTTACTGCAACAGCTTCCTAAGTGGTCTCTCCCCACTTCTGCCCTTTCCCCTGATTCATTCTCCACCTATAACCAGAGCACTTACTCCTCAAAGCAAATCAGTTCAGTTCAGTCGCTTAGTTGTGTCCGACTCTTTGCGACCCCATGGACTGCAGCAGACCAGGCCTCCCTGTCCATCACCAACTCCAGCCTACTCAAGCCCATGTCCATTGAATCGGTGATGCCATCCAACCATTTCATGCTCTGTCATCCCCTTCTCCTCCCGCCTCCAATCTTTCCCAGCGTCAGGGTCTTTTCCAATGAGTCAGTTCTTCACATCAGGTGGCCAAAGTATTAGAGCTTCAGCTTCAGCATCAGTCCTTCCAATGAATATTCAGGACTGATTTCCTTTAGCATTGACTGGTTGGATCTCCCTGCAGTCCAAGGGGCTCTCAAGAGTCTTCTCCAACACCATGGTTCAAAAGCATCAATCCTTCAGCGCTCGGCTTTCTTTATAGTCCAACTCTCACATCCATACATGACTACTGGAAAAACCATAGCTTTGACTAGACGGACCTTTTGTTGGCAAAGTAATGTCTCTGCTTTTTAATATCCTGTCTAAGTTTGTCATAGCTTTTCTTCCAAGGAGCAAGCGTGTTTTAATTTCATGGCTGCAGTCACCATCTGCAGTGATTTTGGAGCCCAAGAAAATAAAGTCTGTCACTGTTTCCATTGTTTTCCCATCTATTTGCTATGAAGTGATGGGACTGGATGCCATGATCTTAGTGCAAATGCAAATATAGATATGGTATCCCCCAGTCAAACTCATTAACTCACTGCTGCCCCAAAATTGAAACTGAAGTCCATGACCTGGCTGGAAGCCCTGTGTGATGCAGCCTCAACTGCACAACCATTTCTTACCCTCCCCTTGTGTTCTGCATTCCAGCCAACATGGGTAGTCTACCAGGTCTCATAGTACATAAAGCTCTACTGTGCTGACTTCTGCACAGATTAACTTCTGTCTAGAACACTTTCTGCATCTGCCCTCTCTCATTAGGGTGTGCCAAGTATGACATATGTGCCCCCTTGTCTGTGCTCCTGAACACCACTCCCCTATTACAGCACTTGTCACTATGAATTCATTCCAAAAGTCACTCCTCTGTACTCTCATAAAAAGGAAGGTGCTGTACGGGAAAGTGCCTCTTCTTGTTTATTCCTAGAGTATAGCATAATGGCTAAAACATAGCAGGTGCTCAGAACCATGTGATAGATGGATGCAAAATGAGCAGATGAATGCCTGAATAAAACAAACCACTTGGTTCACATGTTTTAGACCTCATGTTTCCCCATGAAACCGCCAGGCGGCGCAGGAGAGCACGTGCTTTGGACCTGGGAACTGTGAAGGCTTTCAATCAATGGGGGAAAAGGTTCCCTCCCGACATAGGCGCTGCTCTCTGGCCAGGGAACCATTCAGCTGTGAGTGAGTTAGAAAGTAGAAAAGCTCCCAAGGGAGATTTTTTTTGGCCTGAAAGCCTAACAGGAGGTCTCTGCTTCTTCCTCTTCTCTAAGATGACCTTTACACTGTCTCAAAAAGAGTCTGCGATTGCCCCTCCGTGGTTCCTCACCTCCAAAGACTAGACTCAGGTTGTCCATCTGAAACCTTAGTGCTGAGGGAACCAGCAGAGGCTCAGCATTCCTTCCAGGAGGACAGTGGGGATGACTCCAGTTTTGGCTCTGAGACCACCATGTTTTGTTCAGGAGCCGCCAAGTGATAGGAAGTGATGGGAAAAGAGAAGCGTATCTTTTTCTGGGAATCTTGATATAAACAGGAAGCCAGAAGCTATTCATTAACTAGATACACACTGGCAGGAAGAGAGGCCAATTATTTGCGGTGTCTTTACCCACAACTTAAAAAACACAGTAGGAAAAGAAGAGAGAAATAATCTCATTTAGCTACTTGACAATTCTCTTTCCCTTTTCCCTTGGAATCCAACTTTTCTGATAAAATCTTTAAAGAGGAAGATAATTTAAAGATTATTTAGCTTTATGGAATCACCTTACTTCTCAGATGAGGAAAACAAGGGCCTAGAAAGGGGAAGTGATGTCCTCAGTGTCACCTTATACACGGCTTTGTGGCAAAACTAAGAAAAGAACCCAGGTCTCCTGACTGGTAGCCCAGGGTTTTTCTATCAAATTTCCCTGTCTCTCCATATATATGACAATTACCAAGCAAAGTTGCAATTTAAAAAAGAAATGTATAGTTTGGCAGTATCTAAAAAATTAAACATAAAATTACCATATGACCCCATATTTCTGCTCTTAAGTATATGCCCTAAAGAATTAAAATCAGGGACATGAACAAGTATACGCATGCTGCATGCTAAGTTGCTTCAGTCGTGTCCGACTCTTTGTGACCCCACAGACTGTAGCCCTCCAGTCTCCTCTGTCCATGGGATTCTCCAGGCAAGAATACTGAAGTGGAATGCCATGACCTCCTCCGGGGGATCTTCCTGAGCCAGGGATCAAATACCACATCTCCTGCAGCACTTGGAATGCAGGCAGATTCTTTACCACTGAGCCACCAGGGAAGCCCAAAACAAGTACATGTACACTCACGTTCATAGCAGCATCATTCGCAATAGCCAAGGGGTTGAACCAGCCCAAATGTCCATCAATAGATAAATGAATAAACAATTGCCGGTTACAGGTGGGAGAAGCAGACCAGCCCGGGCGGCGCTCTGGGGGGGAACTGTCAGGGCCCTTCAAGGGGAATGCCACTAACTACGGAGCATCCCCTGGAGGAATAAGGAAAGCTGCACATCCTTGAAAGGGCAGATGGAGGCTGCAGAAGAGGGGGTGGTGATGACGGTCTTGGAAAGGTGGAGGAGGGTGTGGAATTTTTCTGGTTAGCTTCATGGGGGCAAAAAAAAGGATCAAATGAGAAGAAATTCCAGAGAGGCAGCTGCTTCTCTGAGATGCAGAGAAGAATAATCTAATAAACATAGCCATCATACAAAACCATCCATGAAAATGAAACACCACCCACACAAGCTACCACTATGATACATTTGAACAATCCTTTTATATTGAATTAAATAGGTAAGAGGTGAACTACACAGATATAAAATACATTAAAGGGAGGTCTACGGCAGGGGGAGAGAGTAAGGAAAAGAACAACAATAAATAAAACCAAAAGAGAAATCTTGTGTGAATTGAGGTATACTATGAACTAGGGACTATGATTAATTCAAGTCTTGTATATCTGAGATCCCCACCCCCAACCCACTGTGTGAAAAGTAAATGAACGAAAGAGAAGAAAAAAGAATAGAGTCACCCAAACATGAAGTGTGCTGCATGTGACACTGTTTTTCATAAAGAATGCAATGGCATTT